GTACAACGCTTGCCAACCATGCAGGTAATCCGGCGTTCGATCCCCAGCCAACTCACTCTCTTACTTCGCTAAGCCAGTATTAAAAAATCTGGTAAAGAGGAAAGGTTGGGTATGAGGCTAGCAACCTCATCCTGTAAAACTAAACACCACCGCTGCTGAAACTTCAAGCCTCTAGCTTGAAGCTCTATATACCACTGGGAATGTAAATGAAGAAAAACAAAAAAAAAAAGAAAGGTCCATCTCTTGGGATGACTTTTTCCAGATTTAAAGGCAGATAACCCTGATTAATGTAAGAAAATGTAAGAATTAGCTTCACTACTTCATGTTGACTGAATACTAGTCTCCCATGACAAAATATAATCCACCGCGCTATCGCATTACTCAAAATGATGGCCACAGAATTCTGCTAGAAATTATTAGCCGACAACATATGACCGGTTCTCATACAGATGACAGTACAGTGGAATAAATCTAAACGCAGACGCATTAAAGCGATGACGTACTACTCTCTTTTGACCTTACTATCTTACAAAGTTAATTTTGGTAAGTGTTGTATGGTCTGAATGCTATGAGTTCATCTGTTTTAGAACATAATTACGTTTAATGTAATTCATGCAACTCATTATCCAGATTCATGCATTGTACAGGGAGAGATTCCTATCGCGTATTTGTTAGCTCGCCCTACAAGATTCGAAATGAGGCATTTAATGCAATCAAGAAACAGTTCCTGCCAAACATCTGCTCAGATACGGTACGACCATTTAACTCCACCACCTATGAAACCATTACTATTAGAGTGATTGATAAGAGTGTGGTATTATGTGGAAACTGTAAAAAGGATCTGAAATCCCCCACATTTAGTCCGGCGCAGACAGACATGGTAGCCAACAATATACTGACTTAAATGTAGCCAAGTTTATCGGCAGGATACCTAGGACCTAGGTTTCTTACTAGTTAGCACTCGTCAGCAAGGCGTGTCTGCAACCCTAAAGGAACTCATGTCCCTTCTGAAATTCGAACCCGCATCACCCAGTGCAGCCCGTATAGTTCAGTGGTAACATCTGTAACCGCAGCTCTGGGTGATGCGGACTTCAGTTTCAGAAAGGACATGATTTCCTTCAAGACTGCAAATACACTTTGCTGATGAGTGCCAACTAGCACGCAACCTGGGACCAAAGCTTCCTGCCAACTGCCTTCACCTATCTATTACCAACAACAGCTGAGCCTAATTTAAGAAGACAATACTACTGTAAATTACTTCAAGTATTTTTAATTTGAATTCGTCCATGATAAATAATTATTTTCTGAAAATTTCACAACAATTACTGTGAAGAATCGTGTGGCTGTTCCTCTAAATGTAATTCTTTTTTTCAGAATATACTCAATAGTATACCTTTCCTAGAGAAAATATCAAAACGTATCAGTCAAACTTATTTCAGTGTCAGGATAACATGTGGTTATACACGTCGTCGTCATGATCACTTGCGAAATGACATCGGTAAACAGATGTGTTGGATTTGTTTTTGTTTCTTTTTCTGCCAAGACTGTACATGATTCCGTGTGTTTAACACACAATTTGACTATAATTTAGGTTACCTATGCAACTTGTCATGTTAGCGTAGTAATCTTCCTCTGCTGGGGTGAGAGGTTGGATGAAATGCCATCTTCTGAAGGTATCTGTCTACATGTGTGAAATGTAACAAACATTTGAAACATATGGATAGATTAAACTTTGTGCACTGAAAGGCATATCAAATTATGCTTTAGGTGCGGGTAATAACATTAACAACTTCTTGCATTCAAAGATAATGATACTTTCTGACAGATCAGCCTAAATCCGCACTACGTTAATCCTCGCCTAATCGTTTCAGTCACTTAAATGTTCTGATAACTGCCTTTACTTTCACGTCAATCAGAAAACTTGTGGGGTTATCACTGGGTGCAAAAATACACTGGTGAGATAATACCACTCATTACTTATTTTGAGATGTAATCTTTGAAAATTTCTTTATACTCACATGTAAAGTGACTGTCAACCTGTTGGGTAACAACGATCTATGATGCCTTGGATCCTGACCTTTTACTTGTCTAATTATATTCATAGCAGTAGGCTAGTCATGACTACTTCAGTTGCCCTAGGCAAAATACTTTTCAGCTGGTATGAGCATTGGATAGAATGTCATTATTTTTGCATGCTTGCTAATGGAAACACTTAACTTCAATTATTTGTGCTTTTGTTGAGATTCAAACCTAATATCTGATATTCTGTTTGTTTATACTATCAAGTCTGATCAATAGTATAAGTTTAGTCAGTGCTAACAGAGTAAAAACGATAATATAACGGAAGTGACATTGAGAGACACATCTCCAGATACAGTTGATGTCAAGCTTTTATAACCTATAAAATCAAGAATAATGTCTGTAAAAGTGCTCATGCATTTTCGATATTATGAAATAAAACATTAAATAAACACCTTATAGAATAAAACTGATTTTGGCATAGTTGTGTTCTCCGGGGTGGATGGTGCATTTGCGAATCTTTCATTGCCTTACTAGGCGACATCTTCAGAGCATACTTCAATCTGAAGTACTCTAAATACTTCCATCCAGTCCAGAGAACACAACTACACCAAAGTCATCTGCGTGAGTTACAAATCTTTTCCATTATATCTAAGATGATTTAAAAACACGTTTCACCTGGCTAATATGAATCCCTCCATAGAAATCTAAATGTTAAAGTCCTGCTAGTGTGGCACAGAAATAGTTATTTTTTAGCAAAGGAGAGACTGTAAAATATGTTTAAGCTGAGAAATGCATTAGAAATAAGTGAAAAGGAGCTTAACTACTCAATCATCTCTTGTTAAGTCAGTCTCTTATGCCAGTTTGAAACTGAACTGACCAACCCTTGCACTTCGACGTGCTTGTCATAACCCAAAAAGGATATATATTTTATGGAATTATGTGATGTGTTGACATGTGTATAACAGATTATATTGGTTACTTTTGTAGTAGAAACCTAGAAACTTAACAAAAGAGTTTATATTTATCTCCTAACAAGCGTATACACGAATTGATTTTATTGCTTCTATTTTGTAGTAATAAATGTGCTGTGCAATGTATCTTACCAATATTAAATTTACATTCACAGAAAAACCTCGTTTTCACAATAATTAACAAATGACTTTTCATCAGACAAACAGTTTGTAAAACTGACTAAATGTGGGTCCTTATAGGAAACTTTGCTATCCATTAGGGTCACTGACTTTTATAAAACAGTCTACATTTTTTCAACATCATTCGTGGTATTAAGGGAAAAGATAGAGGCTTAGGAATAAAATAAATGTGCGACTGTGCAGAAAACCTACTGAAGGCACCAGTATTTAAAGCATTAGAGTGATTATTTAATGAATAATACGGATAACAAATTTACCACAAGTTAGCAGTTAGGATTAATGGAGTTCGGATAACTGTTAGAGTTAACATTTGAGCATAGGTTTGTTTAAGTTCATTGAGCTGTGACCAGTTGCTTGAGGTACTCGTTTTCAAACCACGACTCATAGGTCGACTCTGCTTCCCTTACCAAGGTTTCGGCAGTCGGGTAGTAACTCATGCTCTCACAAAATTGACGTGGCCCATTACTAACAACATGGAATTCTGAGCAGTTGTTGAGTTACCAGTATGTGAGTCTTTGTGAGAGGTAAACAAAAGATTTGGTCGCAATTAGGATGTTCAAAAGAATGCAGTCTAAACAAAACGCAATATTCAAACAACTTCTACTTATTATAATGATTTTTTTGGTATTATGCAAGTTATAATCCGGTTAACTACAACTATAGTTGTAAAAGATTTTTCCTACTTCCTACAATGTTAGTTATCTTTTCTTACGTATTTTCTACCAACATATGATTGAATAAAAAAAATGACTTCCTATTTATCTCTGGAACAGTTGCTAAAGGACGTCACCCTTCTGTCTCTTTAAAACGTACTTATAAATGCCTGTTATATACGCCTAAGGTGTCAGTGTTCAAAGAAAGATGCAGTTCACATTCACCCACTGAGTTACCTATACTTTTCACACTATCACAGTTAAGTACGTCGCTTTCAAATTATACCTTTATTTCATATGAACTGTGACCAAGATTTAACCGGATAGTTGCAAAATAATCGAGCGCTGAGTGAGAAATACCTTTATTTCCCTGGTTATTTTTCACATTAACCATTTTAAGCGGATAATTTTATCCAGAGTTGATGACTATTGATATAAGTATAAAACTTGGGCACTGTGGTAGAGTATAATTCCATTATAGATAAGATTTTATTTTGATAAATCGCACAGTGTTTACAGTAATGTTTACTGATGACGTTTCGAGCACAATTTATTGCTCATAATCATATCAAGGTAATCACACAGAGTTGATGACGTCAACTAGCGCTTAATATTATGAGTCACATATCATGCATTTAGACAGCTTTCTCAATCAGAGTTTTCTAGGCAAATAATTTTATTTCGTAACAACCATCATAAAACAAAAACTGTGAGAATGAGTATCAATCAAAGCCGTAAGCATAAATTAAAACGTAATTTAGCTCAGTCTCTGTTGATATTAACCTCTTCGCCTACCTCAATTCCAGTCTTGTCTGCTAAACACGGTACAAAAAGGCAGATACACTGAACTAATGGTGGTTCAACATAAAAATGCCTTTCGTTAGCTTTTATAACACAGAAACAGTGGATTAATACGATAGAACTGAATGACTGTTGAACAACAGCCCAGTTAACAGCTACTAAAAAGGCGAAATGCTGTCCATTACTCCTAATCGAAATTAAAACTCCGTGTTATATTTAGGGAAAAGCAGTCGGTGTTTTTAAGACTGATTTATTATTCAAGCTATTAATTAAATCAGAAAATTAGTGAAATCAATCACATTGATAATAAAATAAACATGTATTATAATACAGATATGTACGACTGTACAGAAATGTTTACTTTAATATAAAATGCTCATTTAATTTCACCTTATAGAATCATGTACAAGAATACACAGATTTATAGATTTTTGGCCACCATGTTTGTTTGCATCGGACTAGACGTGTGGAATTTCGGATTCTTCTACAACTTTCACACACTGTTCCACTCGTGTCAGTCAAGTTGGCATTGGTATTTTCATAAGCGTTGGAGTTAGCTGAAGATGTCATATCTGAGCAAACATGCGATGGGATCTGTTTTTTAATTAGGTTAAATGTCTCATTTTGAAATCCTTGATTTCGATGAACATATAGTGAACAGTAATCTGATTCTGTAGATTAAATATATCATATAAATAGTGAGAAATAGTCAAATAGGTTAATGATATGATTATAATGAATACAACATTTACGAAGGTTTTTATGTACTCCCAAGAACCTAATCAGATAGAAGCTAATTCAGGTTGTTTATTACCATTATATATGTCCAAACCAAGTTCAATTTTAACGGTTTGAAAAAATTTGGGCATTGGGTATATGATATTCATTATAATAGAGGTTTATTACCAATTTAAAAAATCATTTCGAAACTATGTTTAACTGTACTCAAAATAATTAACAGTTAATGAATAAATAGTAACACTAAATTCACCAGTAAAAAATAAATTTAGTTTGTGTTTGGTGTCCCAGCTGTGTACTGTTTATGAGGAAGAATTCCCTCTTAAGTGAAGGCAGTCATTGTCATGAGTTGGGTATTACTCAGTGGACTTTTGAAAACCAAGGATCACTAGAGGTCTGTTTGGGCTCAGTTTGTAATTCACATGTAGTACGTGTTCATCACGGATAGAGCCCGGGTTACGAGGTGAAAACATTCTTACTCACCCACCCAACTGTAATTCAAAGATCCTTGAATTTTAGCCTAAGTCATTTTGAGAGATACGAGGGAGTTTATTATTTGGTACTATTCAAGTATTTTGATGTTTTAACCGCTTATATGAATTACTGGGTGTGGAAAACTACATAGTTTGTTACGTAAATCAGGCGATCAATAAATAGCACCTGTATAAAAGATTAGAAACCAATTCATCAAGTCCATATTGCTAATTGTTTCATGAATACATTACATGTGTGGATTTAAGAATATTTACAAATCAGCATAGTAAAAATAAGCGTGTAACACTGCATAATTTCGCTTAGCAGGTGTTATATTACCGCCATTTCTCTTGGTCGTTAAAAATATGTGGTTTAATCTTGATCTAAACTTCGTTATAGAAATTCGTCAATTTTTCTACTTACCATTTCATCCTATCCATTGTTTTATTTTATTTACAGTTTCTGGTTTATGATGTTGGTGTTTTTTGCCTATTATATTTCCATTTAATAATTTTATTCGCACAACCTGCTACTATTGCTTTATTTGAGGCTTTTTCAGGTGAGAATATGACTTGATATGTTATATTTTTTTTTATTTTTGATTTACAGCTTGATTCCACACTGTATTTTTGGTACAAGTATGGAATTTTCAGCATGGATATCGGTATATTTCAATTTAGTGACAGATTTTGTTGTTGTATTGTATTCCTCTGTGAATGGATACTGGAAAACAAATAATCGGACGAATAATGTTGCTTCACTTAAAAGAAATCATAACAATGGTTCTTTTTGTTACCACTGGACATAGATGTCTTAATTAAAGTTTATTCACATTCATTACATCTGGAAAGAGCTAGATTTCAAATATTAACACATTTTGGTCAGTATTTCAGACAATAATTTCATTGTGAAACCGTAAGAAAACGAAATATATTGATTATCACAGTCTGAAGGTATTATGAGCAAAACAGAACTGACAATACAGATTCAACCTACTTCGACTAACATCCTAACAATCAGGAAAAAACAAGATTTAGACCAGTACTCTTCGACGGTGAGCATGTACTATATAGGAATGATCCAAGGAATGCCAAACATTTCGGGTAATCAGCAAATGGATTCGACTCAATATGTTGAGAACATCATTCTGACTAAAGATAAGTTCAGCCTTCTAGGCATACAGCACTTAACAGAAATTTTCAAGTGTGATCACAGGCTTGTATCATTTACAGAACCAATGGAAAATCAAGGAGTATTGGACAATTGTTTCGTCCCAACTTGGTACTCTTCAGAAATATGCCTTTTCCGGGGGTCGAACCCTGGTTTTCCAATGGTCCTCTAACTTATGTCTGCTAGTAGTCAAACCCATAACCTGTCTAATCTCTACAAATCCATACTAGAAAATTTCAGGGTTCTGATGATTAGTTCTAACATAAAACAGCTCAGATAGTTGTGAGGACTGTTACTTACAAATGACATTGAGTGTCAGAAAGTATTCCACTAATTAATAGGTGGAGTCAACTGTGTTTGCTTTCGGCAGACAAATCAAAGCAACATTTTCCTAAGTATATGTTACTAACACCATCTGTAGTTGGGGGGGGGCATGAAGAACTTTTCATGGAGCTTTATTATCTTCCAATCTTTTCTTCCGTTTTATAAAACTATAAACTGCCGTGTCTTTAGTTGTGTAAGGTCGTCATTAATCGTCATTAAGAATATTCTTGCCCAAACCACTCAAAAGATCGATTATCACCCAACAGTTTTTATCCAGTCTTCCTGTTTGTTTTATTATTTTCATCATCACATTTTAATCTCTATTTGTAATCTTGTTAATTTGCCTCTCCAGTGGAGATAGTTCTAGAGCTTTCTCATCCATTTGCCATTTATACACGAATATGCAGCACAATGGATAACCTCGTCGAAAAGAAAATTTTCTTTTCTGTAACTGTTTTATTTTAAATTTTCCTATTATCTGGTTTGCATATCCCGTAATACTTTCTGTCACCGAATTCCTAGCTAACGCCCAAACATGATGTTAGGCAATAAAAACAGTTTACAGAACACGTTTGAAGGTTGTCAAAGAAGTAGTGTTACTGATTTACAGAGAATCCTGAAAGTGTAAATTGAATCACAAGGATTTATTAAACAAACTCCGGATCAAAAGTCAATTTGATTTTCCCATGAAACATCGATGTGTTCTGATCCAGTCATCTGACAGTGTGGTATCACTCACCCAGCTTTTGTTGCATTATTCTAAAATATAGATTTGAGCATTGTAGTGACTATGTGCCGTCTCATATCAAATGTGTGCTTGTTTTTGTTGACTTCTAGTACTTGCATCTGTATTTCATATCACTAACTTTCTCTGAGATGCCAGGGAACAGCAATAATAATAACTCTGAGATAAAGTGTAAAATGCAACAAAGTTACTTTAAGACAACCTGTTTCGGTGAATTTAATTTCGTCTCACACTTGCATCATTGTACAAAATAGAGAACGCGTATTTGGCCACAGCACCACAAAGCCAGTAATCTAAAGACTTATTTATAGAACTTTAATAAAGTGCTCAGGATAAGTTTGTTATCTTTCTACTCAAATAGTTGAGAATCGCGCGTACTGATTATTGATTCTTATTAGGTCAGTCCAATCTATATAATAAATGACTGTTAAGCCTGTTTGATGCTGGATCTATTGGCCATCTTAGCAGCTTTCACATCGACCTCTAATCTACAATTTCGGATTATGTATTACTATGGGCAAAAACCCTCATATCACTGCTGGACTACTATAGGATGAGAAATCTCATAAGTATCTTTAGCTCATATTAATCTCTCCTTCACATCTCTATTGAAAGCTTTCCAGACATCATGCGAATCTCGATGGATCAAAAGTTTTTTCGCACACTTCATACCTGGAAGTAATGAAAGTTACGTTGTAGTTTTCTTCTACTATCTAAAGTAAGGCAAAACTGGTGGAGACTTTTAATTTTATCATACCTGATTGTTACTGTATAGCTGATTACGTCCTTCAGGCAGGAATAAAATATTATTTAGATTTTCTGTGCAACTTACTTGTTCTGATAACTGTCAAACTCACTAAATTCGAATGTAATTGTTGTCCAACTGATTCATCAATATTGTAAAATGAACTGCTACTCGACTGACTAGCATCCCCTGAATTCATAGCCTTCAACTCAACAGCATTAAATTGATTGAAATTGTCACTATATCCTTGAGCTGAATGATTACAGTCCACTTCATTCAGCATTTTTTGAAGTAGATGGATGTAGTTGATTGCAGCCCTCAGTATGTCGACCTTTGAGATTGACAATTTACGAAGATATGAGTGTACTGGGTTAGTATTTCTCTGTGACCATCTGTTAGTCACCTCGTTATCTTTCCGTATGACGATAGGATTCTGGTTGTTGTATACGACAGAATCACACGTAGGGTTGAATAAGGTAGTTGAGGAGTAGAATAACTCTTCAGGTAAGCGAGAACGTAGCCCACTGAAAGCCCGATTGATTAAGCGCATTCGTCTGCGTTCCCTCAGATTGGCAACCACACGTTTTTGAGGTAAATTTACAGGATGTAATGGCAATTCTGCTGCTGGTGGTGATAGCGATGATGATGATGACGATAGAGATGCTGGTGATGGCAATTCAGTTGAAGTGGTTGGTTGTTGGTGTCTTGCATTCTGATATGAATACTTGAATATATTTCTATGATTGTCATGGTAATCATCGTCATTTGAGTGTTGTATGTTGTGAAAATATGTAGTAAGTAGTTCGTTACCCGAGTAATTGTAATAACTCTCCCTGTTGCGTGAGTTGTTAAACATGACTGAATGATTGAGAATTTTATTTTGGTTATGAGTGTAGATGGAATGAATTCGCTGTTTATATATGGAATTCACAGGGTATACACTATGAAAGGAAATTTGTATGATTATTTTGAAATGATTTATTTATATTTCCTTCCATGAGCTTTATCGAAGGATGGGTAGACAGAATTTTTAATCAGATTACCATTCTCCTTTATGAGTCACTGAGTTTCTTCCCCAATTAGTTAATTCCTTTTCTCTGATTGGTTGGACAGGTTGTGCCAATCGCTAACTTCATTATTCATAACGCTAGAAATTCCTACCACTGCGATTTGTTCATTTCACAAGTTAGATTTGGACTGCTTATAGAAGGATGAACTTCCCACTAAATTAAAAAGATCAAAATGGCAGGGACTGTTATCTTATTCTTCTCCTTTAATGATAAAACTATTGTAAGGTGGAAGTTAAATACAATCCTAAACAGTCTTTTTTCAAGTATTGGTTTTGTAGGGATTTTGTTTGATTGCATGGAGGATTTCATCATGAGCTGACATCAGTTAGAGAACCACTGGAAAACCTGGGAGTACTGGACATCTGTTTCGTCCTAGTTTGGGACTCTTCAGCAGTACGCACCCACCGGGGTTCGAACCCAGGACCTTCTGGTTACAAGGCGAGCTCGTAGACCATTGAGCCACTGGGACCCGATCCAATGGTCCTTGAATTCTAACTTCTGCCAGTTCACGACATAGCGCGACCAGGTTTTCCAGTGGTTCTCTAACTGATGTCAGCTCATGATTAAATCCTCCATGCAATCAAACAAAATCCCTACAAAACCAATACTTGAAAATTAATCTGATGCTCACTAGTGACTGGCCCTATTCAGGCAGTTAACCTGGGGTTCTAGTGGGAAGCCGTGATCAGTAGGGTACAGCAGGTTGAAGATGAGGCAGTAACTCATGGAAGAAGACATTGCTAAGTGGTCGCGCTATGTCGTGAATTGGCAGAAGTTAGAATTCAAGGACCATTGGATCGGGTCCCAGTGGCTCAATGGTCTACGAGCTCGCCTTGTAACCAGAAGGTCCTGGGTTCGAACCCCGGTGGGTGCGTACTGCTGAAGAGTCCCAAACTAGGACGAAACAGATGTCCAGTACTCCCAGGTTTTCCAGTGGTTCTCTAACTGATGTCAGCTCATGATGAAATCCTCCATGCAATCCTAAACAGTATCACTGTGTATAAATCCATATATATTCATACTGATCGTAAACTTCCAACCAATGTTCTGGTAACTTTTATACCAGAAATTTTCCGTAAATTTTCATGCGTAATTGCGCAAAGATGACTCCACTTAAATAACTGAAGATGGAATTAGTTTTATGAAACGATAAACACTACTAAAAACACTTTTTTGCGAAGATGTTTTAACGTGATCTGAAATTTCACCGACTAAAATCCTTAATGAAAACAATGGGATTTTCATTAAAGTGGCTTTCACCTCTTAGAAACATTTAGTAGAATAAAGGGGAACCAGTTAACATTTCAAAGGAAGTGTAAATTCATTTCAGAATTGATTAAAAATCGTTTATCTAAATGTGTTAAACGCACTTTTCCTGCAGCTGACCTGCAACTAGTTTTTACCAGCCGAAATATGATCAGACAATGCGTCAAGGATAGATTACCGCTTTTGTCCACATCTATGTGCATTTACTCTTTTACTTCCTCTTGTGGAGCTGTTTATATTGGACGTTGTAAGCGTAATCTCCGAAAACGTGTAGCTGAACACTATCCGGTTTGGTTAATGAAAGGCGAACGTAGAACTGCAAAGTCGTCTATTTGTGATCACCTGTTAGAGTCTGGTCATTTAGCCCCACGTGATTCATCTTTCAAAGTTATATACATGGTAAAATCGAATCGATCCAAAAGTTTACGTTTTCTTCACATATGCATAGCCGAAGCTTTAGCTATACATGAACAGAAACCAAAATTATGTGTTCAAAAGCGTTTTGTCAAACCCCTTTCTTTACCATGGTCATAATAATGTTCTTTCTAGTTTTTATTTCATTTTACCACTTGAATTCTTTCCACTTCACTTCACATCTTCATTCTTATCGTAATCGTACTCCTAATTTTCAAAATTTTTAGACAACACTTGACATTTTTTTATAGAACAATCTTTAATATTTTTGTAATTTATCCACTTCAACTCTACCCCTTATAACTTTTATCACAAATATACGTACATTGACTGAGAAATTATTTAGTGCCACTTAATAACCTTTTTCTGTAATGTAAATACGACTGTACAGCTTGAAAATGAAGTCGTTGAAAAGAAATTTCTTCGCTGAACAAAAAAACTGTATTTTTACTTATGAATAAATGGGTATTTTTCGAGATTTAAATGTATTATTTTAACCAAGGTGGCTAGTTGAACTCACATAGACTTTAGACAGACAGATTGTAAATCGTAGTTTACAGGATGTTTTCAAACTTATTTCAAGTTTAGATGACGTAGATGTGAATGTGTTTCATCATTATTCACTGATACACCACTGGTATAAACACTGGGATTCATTTTCCAACAGATAATGAAGAAGCAGATGCATTTTGAGACTTCAATAATAATACATAGGTAGCGAGTTAGCCGCCACCTCATAAATACATGATGAGCAGCATTAGACGTGTCTCAGGCTGGGTAACTGAAAAGACTAAAATTTGGATTGGATGTACCGATTCGGCTGGAACAGGCCGAATTCAGGAAAACAAGTAATGCTTAGACCGAGTTGTACCACAACGCATCGTCGAGAACAGTACCGAATGGTCGTTAACTCTACTTGAACTTTAACTTTGAAATTACCTTCGGTGGCATCAACTGAAAAGTAATTTGGAAACTGCTTCAGAACTATATAGTGGAGTCCTACAAAATTTATAAACTGTGTACAACATCTACGTCATGATGACACCATACGGCAACCAATTCACGACAGGAAGATCCCCGGAAAGTCTGAAATGTAAACAGGACTAATACAGGATTGAATACTATCACAAATGATATTCATAGTTGTGGTGCACTTGGTCATGCTGCACCTCATGAGATGAGAATGATAAGATGGATTTATATTGGGCCAATAAAAAGACACGACGATACCTAGGTTAAACGGATGCTTTATGCATTGTCGCACAAATTCGAAGGAAAACAAGCGAAAAAATGTCAACAAAAGATGTAGTGAAGAGAGAACTTGAGGGGAATACTGTGAAGGTAAGGTGATGAAGATACCAACAATAAAAAGTAGCAGTCACCGTTAGTGGGAGGAATCTAAAGGAAATAGATCTCTTCCTTTACTTTCCCAAATAACATATTTGAAAACATCAGAGCTATCCAGGGGTGGGTTGGATCTGATCGGGAAAGTAGGACAGAATTGCATTACTCTGAAAGTGTTGTTGAGAACTGCAGTATTCAGCACAAAGGACTAAATCCGGGTTTTCAGCACTAATGCCAAGTTCAGTGATGCTTTTCCATGGTGCAGAGACATGGTGTGGGCATCACTAGACTTTCATCAACGCCTGCTTTCGCTCAATATGAAAAATCAGATGGCCAGCTAGGAAAGATGAGGAACAGGGAACTCTGGTAGGCGACGAACCAGACATCAAGTTATTGTTCAACTAATATTTAGAAAGAAGTGGAGATGGATGGATTTTACATACATTGAAGTGACAGTTGAGTTACATTACAAGTTATACTATCCACTGAAACCTATATGGGAATGAACGAGTTGGCAGTCCAAGAAAATTAGCTAGGCTTGTGAGCCTCCATGAAGCCGAAGTGGAATGAATGTGTCGCTGAAGCCATACGTCCCACTCTGAACGTAAGGAGTGAATAATATTGATAAAACTTGGCGAACAGGTAGTTTTGGTCACCATACAGGATATTCCTTTTGCTGCAGTTCCTTTAGAATGATTATCAGCTGTTCTTCGGCTTCTCCTTCTGAGCAAAATGAAGACAAATTACACTTTCTAGATGCTCTACTGAGCACATGACTTACTCGGGGAAATATTACGTCTTAAGGATGATATATACATTGACCTAATTCTGTATGCGTCCACTAGAAAAACAGTTCGGTAAGATGCCCCACAAATGGAACAATAAATATATGCTCTCTTATGTTATATCCATATTACGATAATCAAAGTGGGCTATCCTAATGGATTTATCAGGAGACAATGTACAAAGTGTAGTGAAACGAATAACGGTTAGCAGGAAACGACTGTTTATGAAGCGCCAATGCAATGAAGAAGTGATCTATGAAATTCTATGCCAAAGATTGTCTAGAGACACACTGTGTTTATCGATCTCCAGCTAACGTCCCATCACTTCCCAAGTGAAAGGTAAATTGCCTAGCTTCCCCATTTCTATGAGCATTTACAAATTTGCTCGCTCCTATGGAAAAACTTATATAAGGCTAGCAGGGAGCTAGTCTAAAGCCTAAATATCCAAACCATATATTTTATGAATTTTTCGGAATAATCTGAGCACTGAGTCAGATTGAATCTATTTGCTGAAGAAGTTGTGGCTTACACATCACAACGCTTATAAGAATCTTGTTTTGATTTTCTAAGTACGGTGAGATTAGTTTAAGTAAATTTATAATATATGAACATTTGTTGTTACTGTTCCCCGTTCTACGTGTAATGTACTGGTCGAGAATTTAATAGTCCTGACGCAAGAAAGACGGAAATCAGAAGACAACTAGGTTTGCGATGATACTTCTATTTTCCAAAACACCAGGAGAATCAATACCACACAAGAGTGTGAGAGCAAAATATGAATGTCCGAACAAGTGTGAACACAAGTGTGTGAGCGAATATTCAAAATAAACAAATCAATAGACAGTCTTAACATGATTGGCTAATTATAATGGAATATCGATCCATATATACATAGCAAATATACAGACTGTCAAACAAACACACATATTATATGGATATATATCACTTTGGTATTATTAAGTAAACTAAAGCTGAAAGGTTTGTCATACACTTGTTCTCCCTGGAAACATTATATATATATATATATATACCATCTGTTCCTAACGCCTTCCCATCCGCAGATTCATTTCATTCAAGATATCTTCTTCCATTGCAGGAGTGCTGTCCACTGGCAGGCAGTCATGTGCATGCTGTTGTTGGTATTACTCGACGAGTTGCCGGTGACTGTCGATTCTAGAGCCCTTTGAAGTGATCGGCTTATCGTTTGATTTGTCTCTCCTCCCAGGTGATTA